GTCTATATTTGATATATCGAACTTCTTGAGCTGATGATAATAATGTGTGCATGATTACTGGAATGTCTCGGTCATTGGATCCTTTCAGAAAGAAAAGGACAAATGCTAGAGTGAAGCGCGCAAACAATGGGGAAGCCAAAAAAAAAATGCACAGGAGCAAATTGTTTCGGTAACCTGAATCATAAACAAACTGCCATGTTTATCATCGCCTTTTGGACCATTATGAGCTGGGAATGACAGAATTACTCTCTAACAGAGGCCCCGTTTACACTAATGTGTTTTCGTTTTAAAACGCATAAGTTTTGCTACGGTTACGCCATCCGTCCACACTACGCCGGAGTTTTTAAGCGCCGAAAACGGAGCGTTTCGAAAACGTTGGAGAGGCCGTTTTCATTCTAAAACGCTGCTGCTCCCTCTCAGTGTGGATGGGGAAAAACGGAGGCGGGGCTGCAGACATTCGCCTATCTAATTGGGGCTTTTCCTCAATATTAAGTAGCCTACACACACAGTTCAGTCTCGTATCCTCTCCCTGTAAGTTCAGACTTCGCAAGTTTTGATATAGAAAACAGACCCTCGAGAACACGTCCCGTAAATCTTCAAAGGGAACTGTGTACTTTATAACCTTATTCACATTATCCTAGCTACGTTGTTTCACTTTCTCATCAATGTAGATAAGTAATGTCAAATTTATAATTTTCGTAATTAGAAAAAAAAATTACATACTAACATCCAGGAAAACTCCCGATCAAAGATATACGTGTATATGTGTATATCTCTGGCTTTGTGTATATTTCTGGCCATAGTCCTCCACTGTACCTTGGTCCCACATTCATTTCAAAGGAGCGCTACCCTGTAGCAAGATGGCGGCGCTATTGACGCATTCCGTCCAATAGACAACAATAGGCCAGGCGACATCTAATGTATATATCTATGTTACAATACTTGTTCATGCTAGTTATGTAGTTAATACAGACATTCATTCTTAGTTCTTGTCAACTCGCGATGCATTAACTAATGCCGAGTGATTTTAGCCCTGATTTGGACTCGCCGACAGCTTTTAAAAATGCCTAAAAATCACATTCAAATTGGTGCTCGTTCATGCGAGTAACAATCATACAGTGTGAACTATCAAAGATGCGATCTGAGACAATCACTGATGAGTCACTGACACCAGTTAAATATTTGCCATGCTAAATGTGTTCTGATTGAACAGAACATTGGCAATTACCTACAGCCAATGGGAGAGCAGCATCTAGGGCAGCAGGAATTGGGGGGACCACAACATCAACAAGCATGGCCTCGGGTTGAGAAGAGGACTTCTTTTCTGTCTACTTTGTAGTGAACGGTGCCATTGGGACGAATGGTGCCATTATTAACGCGAGACGACGAAAATACAATCGCAAACCTCTCCTGTACTCTGACCTTCCCATTGACCTTATTCTCCGCAGACGAGCGGGCGCTGCCATTTGAATCTTTTTGGCTCGAGACTTCCGGTCTCATTCACTTCCATTAATTTTTAGACATTAAAAACTGATCGTTTCGTTGTTTGATGTCGCAAACTGATATTTCCTTGTTGTATTATTCTACTTGGTCTGTATAGTCATGCAAACATTTGTTTGTAGAGCAAGTAGTTTGACCGTTTTTTGCCGTTTATTATTCCTTGTCATTTCTCCCAAAGGCGACTGAAACGGAAGTTCTAAGACAATCGTGAAAACAGGCGCACTTCCGCATTTTAGAATAAGGGCTGTTTCTCAATATGCGTTCTTCAGCGGTCTTGCGTCCTTGTGTTCTCGTGCAACGTCATCATCAGCTGCCCAAGTTCAGTTCCAATACTCAAGACCGCAAGTACGGAGGACGCGTGAAACTTCCCGGATGTGTTCTTGATATCGAGGAAGCACTGATGCAGACTTGAGCACCGAACTCGCTCTGGAAGTCCCAGAAGTCATTGCGACTGGAGGTGGGAAGCCCTGCATTTTATTTAGATTTATTATTAAAGTTCAGAGATATCACTTATTTACATCGGGAGTTTCCCTAAATGAAACAGTGAAAGTAAACATTACCATGAACATCTTAATAAAGGAACAAACACATTAAGGGTGTTTGTTTGCTGAAATTCGTATTAACATCTGTTTTATTCATATTGTGCAACATAGATTTATAATGTTTTTATGCAAAATATATATTTTTAAGAGGGGAAAAACAATAAATCGTTGTATGAAGGCTGAAATGTTTAAATAATTTCCATGTAAAACATGTGAAGGTCACGTGACCATCAGGAAGAACGCAGCATCCCATTTCTCAAAGGACGCATTCTCTGCCCTCACGGTCTCCTGAGTTCGTTCTTCTGAGGACACCTGGCAAGACCGCTCTCCACAAGAACGCAAGTCCGTTCTCTGCGTTCTTGGAATTGAGAAACAGCCCATGTCAATACTTCAGAGCTCAACTTTATTTGAATCAGTCAAGTGTAAGCGAAGAGCACGACGTGACCAGAAGAGGGCGCGCAAGACTAATGAATGGAGAGGGAGGGAAATGTTACCTCTCTCTAACCGTCATCTGTTCTCACTTTCTCCTGACCTCCTATCTTCTGAGTGCATAAGGCTCGCGCAGCTGACCCTGAAGGCCTGAGACTCTGGTCGCAAAGCAAGGAAACCTCATAAACCTTTGTAGATCAGATATGCCTCCCTTCAGGGATGCCTTGGGTAACGCTTAATGGCTTAAAACGGTCTAAACAAAGTGCATGAAAGGGTTTATATGTTGATTCATGTTCTAAGATGTACCTATGGGACAACTATAAATTTGTTCACATAAGACATGACCTATAAGTTTGCTAACTATTAGATTTCTTGACTGAGTGATCAGACCACATCACACAGTTGGTCATTAGTGATTTATAATTAGTGCTTTGATATAGTAGGTAAATATCCAAACGGTATATGGGTACTTGTATTAAAAATGTCAAGTCCTCACTGAAAAATGAGGTGTAGTTATGTGCATGACCTGATTTTAGAAGTATAAAAGCTGAGCATTACTGACCTGGGGTCTGTTCTTCGTACCTCGCTTAAATTATCTAAGATGATTTGGCAGATCCTGGATCTGTTCATCTGGATAACCGATCTCTGGCTAATTTGGTTCTTCAAACAAGTTCGTGAATCAGATTAGAATGTCTGGATAAACTGATCTGAGATCGCTGCGTGTGTTGTGAAGGACAGATCTATCGATCCTCGAAATCATGATCAGCAATGCAACGATTGGCTGACGGCACAGCAGCGTAATGACATCATCTGATTAATATTCAATTATCCATGTGAGCAAAATTACATCAAATTAGCAGTAAACAGCTTGTTAAATATGACACGCAATAACCTTCCACATTTGTTGTGAGCTGCAGGCTTTACACTTTCATGTGTCAAGTGTATTAATCATGTGTTTCAATGCATATCAGTGTATTTCGTTGTACATTTAGTGAAGATTTTCTTTATTATAGTAGCCGTTTTTTTAATCGGTGTAAAAAATAACTGGTTGTTTACAAAAGCATTTGGATATTGGTAAAGGCGTCTGCAACTTTGGTGAAGCATCAAATCACTGGCATATTTACTATCAAAACATGTTTATGACTGCATAAATGTATTATTGCTTTTTTTTTAAAAGTCACATATTGTGCATTTCTATTATACACAATTTGTTTTAAAGCGATTAAAAAGTTCTTATCAATAAGTTTTCTCTTTGCACCACCAGGTGGCAGTCTTTGTACTTTCATTTCGAGGGTGCAGATTGCATAAATTTTTATTAATATGTATAACTTTATTTATTTTATTAATAACTATAACTTTATATAGTTAAAAAATATGTACCATTTTCCCAAGTGTATAACTAACGTTACTACTGTAAGAAAATATCAGAATTGGGATCATACTATCTGTATTATCTTTGCTTGAACTAAGCCGATCTAATCCTGCTTATATGAATTGAACCTGCTCCCGATCAGGTTTGAGCTAGCAGAACTGTTGCTATGACAACAACTCTCGGATCAGCTTTGAAGAACGAAACGATCCTGGATCGTGTCAAATCGTCAATATCCAAATCCAGCTAACTGAGTAATCCACGTACGAAGAACGGACCCCAGCTTTGAGCTTTTCTGACTTCTGTATACTGAGGTTGGTTGCCTAAACAAAGGATAAAGTAAGGATTTTGTTTCTGTTATTTGTCGTTTGTTTATTCCACTTTTTCACTGGATTTTACTTCCTTAATAAAAGTGTATTTTATTACTTTTCTTCAACTGGAGTGGACATTGACTTCATTTCCCAGAACCCATCAAGTTACCCTCTGTGGTAAAGTATAAATCAAATTTATTCTTTAGCAAAATCATTCTAAAGACGATCCTTTTACAAAACTCTAGCTAAGAAATATAGCGAAGGGAGGATCCTGGTTTTTCTTTGTTTAATTAGGGTGATTAAATAAAGGTGATCCAGCACAACTTGGACCCAAGAAATGAAGGAAAAACTAATGGAAATTAGTTGACCCGTGTCTGTTTGACGTGTCATCTGAGCAATACCACAACCGGGTCCAAAAAAAAAAATGGTTAAGAGAAATTGCTAATTTCCTTCAAAAGCCAGGTCAACAAACTAAGCACATTTTCTACTCCAATAAAGGCTGAATTCTTTCTCATTATGAAGTTAATAATTAAATGTATACTACGTGACCTCACGTTGTGTCCATGTCACTTCACGCGCATGTTGGTTGTGAGATGCAGTGTGAAAACATCTGTAACGCGACAACTGAGCAATGTGCAGTCTGAACATATTGATAACAAGCACGAATTTGGGTGTGAATAATGCATTAATAAACGTTTAATAACTGCTCTACAAGCATTGTTCATACTTGGTTCGTGTTAGTAAATACATTAACTAATGAAATCTTATTGCAAAGTCTGATCAGAAAAATAATACAAATTTTACAGGAGGGCAAATCATTTTGACATCAGCTGTACACCACACACCCACCGTATTTATCTCGGAGTCCGACCGTGCATCGAAACACTCCACCAAAGGCCACGTCCTCCCCAAAGATGACTGAAAGAGAAGACAAGCTCATGTTAGAGCAGCTGAAACACAGGAGCGTCAGAGAATAAAAGAGGCAGATTTCTGCTCATACCTGCGGTCGGGTCAATGGACAGAGTGTTGTCCAAGGCGCTGGTCACAGACTGGAACAAATTCATCTTCTGTGTTGGGCCTGCCAGTCAAACACACAACAGGGAAATCAATTAACAGCATTTCACCTTATTAGTATAATTTCAGAAAAGTATTATTTACAAATTCATTCATTTATTTTCTTTTCACCTTTGTCTGTTTATTAATCTAGGGTCGCAACAGCGGAATGAACCGCCAACTTATCCAGCACATGTTTTATGCAGCGGATGCCCTTCCAGCCTCAACCCATTCACAAACACACACTACGGACAATTTTAACTTACCCAATTTTATTTACAAATTCTTAATAGGGAATTCATATTAGTTTTCCAGAGATGGGATGCAGCTGGAAGGGCATCTGCTGCGTAAAACATGAGCTGGATAAGTTGGCGGTTCATTCCGCTGTGGCAACCCCAGATTAATAAAGGGACTAAGCCGACAAGAAAATGAATGAATAAATAAATGAATATTAGCAGCCAATGACTGTCAAATCCATACTTGCAAGCGATGTCAGACCTAATATTCAAAGTACTATGGTAAACAATATTGTAAGTGTGTCACTGGATGGATTTAGGAATATAAAACCAACTTTACCTCAATCCAAACCTTTTTCAGTTTCTCTCTTCTGTTGAACAAAAAAGTAGTTACTCTGAAAAAATGTTAGAAACCTGTAACCATTGACTTTCATAGAAGAAAACACAAATTATCTGGAGTAGAACAGTTACAGGTTTTCAGCATTTCTCAAAACATCTTCTTTTGTGTGTAACAGAAGAAAGAAACAGGTTTGCGACAAGTAAATATTGAGGTAAAGTTAGTTTAATATTCAGACATTCCTTTCAGTGACACACTCTATATCGTTTACCATGGTACTTCTGGTACTACCATGATCATTGGCTACTAATATGATTTCCCCATTTAGAATTTGCACGTACTACTTTTCTGAAATTATATTTATCAAGGAGAAATGGGCAAATATAAATCCAACTACACCCCAATGCATATATTACAAAAACCTTTGAGATCAGTGGTTACAGATTTTCAGCATTTCTCAAAATATCTTCTTTTGTGTTTAACAGAAGAAAGAAACTCAAACAGGTTTAAGACTAGTGAATATTGAGGTAAAGTTGGTTTTACATTCACACATTTCTTTCAGTGACACACTCTCTCTGTATGGTTTACCATGGTACTTTTGGTACTACCATGGTCATTGGCGGCTAATATGATTTCCGTATTAAGAATTTGCATATAATACTTTTCTGAAATTACATTATCAAGTCCTAATGGGTGAATATAAAACAACTTTACCCCAGTGTAGAAAATACAAAACCCTTTGAGGTGAATGGTTACAGGTTTTCAGCATTTCTCAAATAAATTTTGTTTGTGCTCAACAGAAGAAAAAACTCAAACAGGATAGCGACAAGCGAAGACTAAATTATGACAACTATGTCTTTAAGTTTAAAATTAATGCAAAAAAAAAAAACACCTCAGTGTTAACTATTAACTCAAGCCAGTCTGAAATATCATCAATAATTCAGCAATAATAAGAGACTTAGATGTTTTAAACAGACAATGTTCTAGAGAGAAAAACAGTCATTAGTGAACTTTCTGTTTACTTGTTTTAGAGTTTTTTTTCTGTTGAACAAAAAAGTTACTCTTAAAAAATATAAATACCCTGAAGGTCAGTGGTTACAGGTTTTCAGCATTTCTCAAAACATCTTCTTTTGTGTTTAACAGAAGAAAGAAACTCAAACAGGTTTGCAACAAGTAAATATTGAGGTAAAGTTGGTTTTACATTCACACATTCATTCAGTGACACACTCTCCTTATTGTTTACCATGGTACTTTTAATACTACCATGATCAATGGCTACTAATATAACTTCCCAATTCAGAATTAGCAAATAATACTTAACGTTATATGAAATTATAATGATCAAGGAGAAAGTCCTAATGGATGAAAACCAACTTTCCCCCAATGTAGAAAATACAAAAACCTTGGAGGTAAATGGTTACAGATTTTCACCATTTCGCTAAATATCTTCCTTTGTGCTCAACAGAAGTAAAACTCAAACAGGTTTGCGACAAGAGAAAATTATGACAGAATTTTACAACTGTGGATGAACTATCTCTTTAAGTTTAACATTAACGTTACTGTAAAAAAACAACACTTTAGGGTTAACTATTAACTCTAGCAGGTCTGAAATATCAATCATAATTCAGTCATAATGAGAGATGAATGTCATTAACTGATGTCATTAGCACACTGAGACTCACTGTAAAGTGTAAACAAGGGCATTTACCGTACTGAGTGGGCACCGGGTCGGGCTGGTATGTGAAGTGCGCTGCATGTCTCCTCTGCGCCCGCGGCTGGGCTGTGCAGTCCGGCGACCGTTTGAGCAGTGTTAAGCTCAAACTACCGTGCACTCCGCCAGTGAACCCCGTTAAACGAGACTTCACACACGAACTTCTTAAGAAGAGCCGCGTCGCCGCCATTGCGCTGGAACCCGTGCAGGAAAAGCGCGCTGACGTCACCATTCACATGGACAAGCGCGCATCTGATTGGCTGAAAACGTGGGAGGAGATTTGACTGACACCGTACGTCAAACGTGGTCCGTGTTTCAAAGTCAAAAATGCAGTCTGTCTAGGTAGGATTTGAGACACAGACACGATATATTAAAGGGCCAGTTCACCCAACTATTATACTTTAAGAGATAGTTTAAACGTAGGGGTGTCCAAACTCGGTCCTGCATAGTTTAGTTCTGACTTCCTTTAACACATCTGCATGGAAGTTTTTAGTATACCCTGAAAGAGCTTGAATAGCTGGTTCAGGTGTGTCCAATTGGGGTTGGAACTAAACTTTAGAGGACATATTGGGCCCTCCAGGACTGAGTTTGAACACCCCAGGAAGACATCTTGATGCGTTTCTTTTTACTGGTGAAGATATTTAGAAGAATGCTGAAAACCTTTAAACATTGAATTCCGTATAGAAATACAGTGGGATTATTGGTTGCTGGTTTCCAGCATTTTTCGAAACATCTTCATTTGTGTTCAACAGAGGAAACACGTTAAGGTTTAAAATATGCACAGGCTGAGTAAATGATGACATAAATACAAATTTGGCTAAACTACCCCTTCAATGTTCTTGATTTATTTGTCATTTCTTAAATCCAATGCTCTAAAACACGTAATGTGAAATATTGTTTCCATAAACCAAACGGGGACCCATAAATGAGGATTCTTCCATCATTTACTCACAAGCGGATACAAAAACAAGATAATTTGAATAATGTTGTTGCCGAATTCAATGGCTGTAATGTAATGTGTATTTATATAGCGTATTTATTGTGTATACACTCAAAGCGCTTCACAATCGTGAGGGGGGTCTCGCCACACCACCACCAGTGAGCAGCATCTACTTGGACGATGAGACAGCTGCCACAGGACAACGGCGCCAGAGTGCTCACCACACACCTGCCACAGGGGTAGTGGAGAGACAGTGATAGAGGCAATTTGTTGGATGGGGATGATGGGTAAGGGGTGATGGGGGGGAATTTGGCCAGAACACAGAGATTACACCCCTGCTCTTTACGAGAAGTGCCATGGGATTTTTAATGACCCCAGAGAGTCAGGACCTCGGTTTAACATCTCATCCGAAAGACAGTGTCATAAGAAATCGGCCCCCCCCTGACAATTGGGTCTGCCTGGGATCCTATTGGTTTACTAGAGTTGTAAGAGGTATAGTTTGTAACTCCTGATATATATATATATATATATATATATATTTTTTTTTTTTTTTTTTTTTTTTTTTTTAATCAGGCGTTACAAACTATACCTCTTACAACTCCAGTAAACCAATAGGATATATTGGCGTATACACACATATATATATATATATATATATATATATATATATATATATATATATATATATATATATATATATAGATGCAGTGAAATCTCGTTTAAATTTATGTAATTTAAGAGTGTTATAATAAAATAAAACTACTTAACTTACTTCAACTTAAATTCTGTATTTGGTATACTGATGTACAACTAAAGGCATGTGTAAAGCTTTTATTTTAGATAGCCTACGACGTGCTACCACTTCGTATGCAAATAAATGTTACATATAAATACATAAAAACATTAAAAAGGCATCATTTAATGTTTACAAACGTTTCAATTATTTTAACTACGCATGTCTTTAACTTATATTTACCGATAATAATGTCATTATTATCATTAATGTTGTTAAATGTCAAGACTATAAGAGAATAGACTATAAAAAGCACCAAATATGATTATAATTGCACTTTGGAGAAGTACAATAGTTTTTGAACAGGCATTCAATGCAGATGATCCATTGGGGTCCTTGGGGGACTTGATTGCAGGGAGGACACGATTCTCAACGGCACTCACTGACTTTATGGTGTCATCTTCAATATACTGTGGCATTAAGACTCACACAGAACGCAGGTTGAGCACCCTTTGCTGGTTTTAATAACACCACCTCCAAAAGCAACCTAGTTTTCCCATGTGGTCTCCCTTCCAGGTACTGACCAGGCTCAGCCCTGCTTAGCTTCAGTGAGCAACCGGTCTCGGGCTGCAATCAGCTGCAACATTCTTCAAAATATCTCAATAGTATCTGGATGCAGCCTTTATGATGCAAGCTGAGAATGCATCACTCAGCGATGCAATGTCAGACTCAATGCACTCAATGTAGTGAGTGACGTCACTGTGACAGGTAGGGTTAGGTCAGCGCATTAAAAAGCATTGGATGCAGCTCAGATTGCACTGCACCGAGTCTGCAGCCAGACCTCTCTCGAATATCTCAACAGAAGAATCTCAAACAGGTTTGCAATGGCTTTGGGGAGAGTAAAAGATGACAGTATCTTCATTCTTGGGCTTCCAGTTTGGTTTATAGAAGCATATTGCTCCACATTATGTGTTTTCAAGCATTACGGTTTAATAAATGACAAATAAATTTGACCTTTTCTGAAAATGCTGTAAAGTTTGCTGTTATTCAGTGGAAAGGTAGAAAATGATCAAATGTTGTTTTTATGGTAATGTCTTTCTCAGCACAAGGGCCTGTTCAAATTCCTAAAGGCACAGAAGTGCTGCAGGCCGAGACGTGTGATTGGTCAGTTCCAATGTCTCAGGTTTGGTTTTAACATGATCAATGGATTAATGGATTTAGCCTCTCTTCTTTATTATTATAATATAAGTGCACAGTTATATTTACTGCAATTGTATGCTAATTGCATGTATATAACATACACACACAAAGTAAAAAAATATCTGTAAATTAGCGGTTTTCCATATTTTGTGATTCATGTTTTTACTTTTCCCAATTTATTTCTGCTTTTGAATTGCATTATGGAAGCTTGATCTTTCTTCCAACAACTTTTAACCTTGAAAAGTTCTAATAAAGTGACATTTATTACAATTTTTAATAGTTTATAGTGCTATATTGTGTGGGTTGGTGGTGTATATTACGCTAATAATACCCTTTAATAAACTGTCAACAAATCTTCTGTTATTTCACAGACTTACGTATCTATATTCATTCATTCATTGTTTTGTCGGCTTAGTTACTTTATTATTCCGAGGTCACCACAGCGGAATGAACCGCCAACTTATGCAGAACGTTTTTATGAAGCGGATGCCCTTCCAGCCGCAACCCATCTCTGGGAAAAATCCACACACACACACACTCATACACTACGGACAATTTAGCCTACCCAATTCAACTGTACCGCATGTCTTTGGACTGTGAGGGAAACCGGAGCACCCGGAGGAAACCCACACGAACGCAGGGAGAACATGCAAACTCCACACAGAAACGCCAACTGAGCCGAGGCTCGAACCAGCAACCCAGCGCCCTTAGTGTGAGGCGACAGCACTACCTACTACACCACTGCTTCGTCCACTTATCTATATATTAGTTCTTATTCAATATAATTTCTCCAACTATTCTAAAATGTCAACAAGTGTCACTTTGTTAAACAGTAAAGTTGAATTTTCAACATTTAAAGCTGACAGAGCAGAGATCAACATCCCATAATGCAATTCACAAGCGTGAATAAGCAGAAAACGTGTTTAAAAAAATATATAAGGAAAAGACGAAATAAACTGACATTGACTCGGCCTATTTACATATCCCTCCTATTTTTTTGCCTAAATGAGCCACTGTCATATATTGATGATCTGGTATATGCCTTCTATCCGCTTGTTAAGTGTGACGTCACACGGAGCGGCTTCCGGTTCCAAGCGCTCTATTCAACTGAATCGGGAGATTTATGAAATGGTAATAATAAATGTTTACAAAGCGATTTAATACTTTCGAAAATCACGATCGCAATATATATGTCCATGCCTAATATCCGATGGCCAGAAACTGATAAATTTTTTTATAAATTGTTTAATTTTTGTTTTTTGTATGCAGCAAGCCCAGAGATTGTTGTGTACACTATGATTTTATATAAAATTAACTTTAATGTGTGATAGGAATAAAACGTGATCATAAACGAATGATTTCTCCACTCAAATGAATGGCGGCTTGGACCCGGAAACAGTATTACATACGTCACAAACACGTCACCACTTAACAAGCGGATAGATGATTTGTTTTTCAACAATTTCTTCCTGATGTTTTCTCTAAAATAATCGGTTACTAATTTAGGGTGCTTTCACACCTACACTTTTGTTTCGGAACGTATCTCGTTTGCCCAGTTAGTGCGGTTCGATTGGCATATGTGAACAGTGCAATCGCGCTCTGTTCCGCGCCTAAGTAATCGCTCCGAGATCGCTTGAATGAGGTGGTCTCGGCTCAATTGAAACGAACCCTGGAGCGGTTCGATTGCAGTGAGAAAGCGATCCGATCCGAGCGCGGTTATATCACAGTGTTTTATGCATACGTAATAGGCTTACGGCTATATGAAGAGAGAATTATGAGTAGGGCTGGAAGTTTCGCGAGTCTACGGATGTCAGCAAACGAGTGATGATCTCCCGGTAATCTTGCCTCTCCCTCCCTCAAATAGGCATCCTCGCGCACCCTTCTCACCCCTCCCCACCGCGTCTCTCCTCAGACATGTCGCGCGCGCGCACCCTGTCAATCACCACAAAACCACCACCTCTCCTGACAGCTGAGCCGGACGCTGCAAAATAAACCCTGACACTGACCAATGTGAGGAGAGTTTACTCGCACGTGACGCGTTTTAGCTCTTTTGGTCTGTTTAGAAACTTTGCAGTGTGAAAGCGAACCGCTCCAAGAGCAAAGAGCAACAATGTAACAATTGTAATCTCTGTTTCGGAACAACTGAATCAATTCACAGGTGTGAAAGCACCCTTAAACAACCTGTGCCTGTGATTTTCCATGATTGTGGCAACCTTGAATAAATTATTATAAGTAGGATAAGATTAAAACTCTGAACTCAAATATTGCAACAAATAAACTCAGAATTGCAAGAATGGGAAGTCCTGATTACAGTCTACCTCTTTAAGACTCT